CATCCATCCACCTCTCCATCCATCATCCACCCATCCATCCATCCATCCATCCATCCACCAAATATTGGGTATCTCCTATGTTCTGGGCAATCAGAATATTGAAACCAATTTTCTATTTTCAGAGAGTTTAATCATCTATTTATCCCCAGGATGTGGCAGAATAATAAAATAACAGCCACTATGAAAACACACACACAGATGCACTGGAGGGAAATTAAGAAACCGGCCCGAGCCCTGACCGGTTCGGCTCAGTGGATAGAGCATCGGCCTGTGGACTGACCGGTCCCAGGTTTGATTCCAGTCAAGGGCATGTACCTTGGTTGCGGGCACATCCCCAGTAGCAGGTGTGCAGGAAGCAGCTGATGGTGTTTCTAACTCTCTATCCCTCTCTGTAAAAAATCAATAAAATATATTTAAAAAAGAAAAGAAACTGGCCCGAGATCACACAGTGAGTGGCAGATCTCGGGTCTAAACTTAGGTCTGTCTGACGCTAACGCTATTCTGCCACCTTCCTCTGTCCGGGGCGGCGGGGCAGCCTCGGAGCGTCAGCTCCCAGCGGGGCGGGGCCTCTCACCTGCTGCTGCCTCCTGGCCCGGTTGACCCTCTTCTCCTGGCGCAGCTGCTGCTCCGTGCGCTCCAGGGCCTCCTTCAGCAGCGCCTTCTCCTCGGCCCCCTTGTAGACGTCGTCCTCCAGCTTGGCCACCTGTGACTGGTACATCTGAATGGACACTTTGCTCTGCCTGAGCGGGTGGGAGAGACAAAGCCTCTTTCCCCTCATCCTTCTCAGCCACCGTCAATGTCCCCGCCCCGGGGGCTTCTCCAAATACTCCCAGACCTTGTTGTCCTAGTGTGTTCATTACACGCCGGAGAGACTGACAAAGCTTTGGGGGCGTAGAGAGCGGGATAAATAGCTAATGGGCTGAGTCAGTGAAGCGTGAGGGGGCAGAGGGTGTGTTAGCGGCCCCTCCCAATTTCCTGGGCCGGGGGGGGGGGCGCAGGGGAGACCCGCGGCCCCTGACAATGTGATGGAGCTGTGGCAAGTCCACAAAGGCTGGAAGTGAGACTCGGTCACAGCAGGTGCAGCCCACTCATTCAGAGAGAGCAGAGAGCGGAGAGCCCTGCGCACTCCGGTGGCTGCTGTCACCGAGAGACTTGTCACTTCCAGGCTCTAGTCCTCCATCGTCCTGCTCCCCTCAGAGCCCCTCAGATTTTAGTTGTTCCACACCCAGGTCAGTGCCCTGCCCTGAGGTTGAGCCGGGGGCATGGAGGCCTGGGCCTCCGCGGGGACCCGGGGTACCTGAGCTGGTCAACATCCTGCTCATATCCTCTCAGCAGCTCCTCCTTCCTCTCCAGCCGGCTCTTGAGCTGGGTGATCTTATCGAACACCAGGTCCAGGTCCCTTTGCCGCAGCTGGTTGACTCGCTCCCTCTCTTTGGGGGAGAGGTGTTTCATGGACACGTGACCTGCCATGTCCTTGATGTTCATCAGGCTCCCCAGCGTCCTGCTCATGTCCAGGTACTGCAAGGAAGGCGGCGCGGGTCAGGGGCCTGGCCGGGGCCATCGCTGGCTGCACTGAGGCGGCAAAGGCCTAGTTCTCATTCACTCCTTGTTGGCAATCGCAGGGAGCAGACCCACGTTTTGGAAATGAGTGCAATTAGGGCGTTTAGGACGATTTTCATGTTCTCCACATGCATTTACAGTCTGCCTTTTTGAGAACTGGGGGCAGGTGACAACAGTTATAAACATTTCGCGGGGTCGTGGGCGGGCCTGGCGGAGCCATTGTAACCACCAGCTGCGCACGCAGGGCGGGTGTTGACACTACCCCGCGGTTCACACGGACTGCAGGGGACCCGGGTCCGACAGGAGGCTGTCTGTCTGTACGTACCAGCTTTTCACTGAGCTCCAAGGCCTCGGCCACGTCCATCTTCCCCGGCTTCTCGGTGGCCAGGTTGGCAAAGCCATTTTGAGACTGAAATTAAAAAAAGAGTTAAAAACTCTTGGCCTCCCGTGACGGATGTCTGCATCCGCAAGTCGAAGCGCTGTGCGTTGCCAAAGAATAACTCGGAAGAGTTGGTTTTGATTTTAGTCCCCGACCTTCTAGTCTGATTCCGTTGCCAACGGCTTTCTGGTAACTGTGGCCCCACCCTTTGGAGCGCAACTCCCTTTGAAACGATACGTCGCTTGTCTTGTTCTCTGGTCACCGTCTTCCATCTAGACCAGCGGTTCGCAACCTGGGGTGATTCTGCCCACCCTTGTTCCCCCTCCTCCAGACATTTAGCCATGTCTGGGCACCTTGTTGGTTATTTAGCCTGGGGGTGGCGGATGCTACTGGCATCAGTGGGTAGAGGGCAGGGATGCTGCTACACACCCCACAGCACATAGGGCGGCCCACGACAAAGGATCACCTGGCCCGCCAGGCTGGTGTGGCTCAGTGGTTGAGCATTGACCTATGAACCAGGAGTTCAACTCCCGGTCAGGGCACATGCGTGGGCTGCAGGCTCAGTCCCCAGTGGGGGGTGTGCAGGAGGCAGCCAATCAATGATTCTCTTTCATCATTGATGTTTCTATCTCTCGCTCCCTCTTCCTTCCTGTCTAAAAGCAATAACAAATATTTTAAAAGAAAAATAATTACCTGGCCCCAAATATCGGTAGCACTGATGTGGAGAAAGCCTGGTCTAGATGCCCAGCCCCCAGGAAGCGGGAACGGTGCTGTTTTTGCTCACTCTCACATTTCCTGGGCTGCCATGGCCCCTGGCAGAGTGGCACTCCGCGGGCGTGCTTGTCGAATGAATGAGTGAAGGTTAAATAGAGAACAGCCCTCCTCCTTTTACTAAAGGAACCTGATTTTTATGCAGCAGAAGCTACACCCTCACAAAATTTGGCCCCGCCTTTTCCTGGTGCTGGGCCTGGTGGGCGAGGGCCCTTCGGACCCTTCCCAGGGACTATGGGGAACGGTGCTCATAGCTGTGCACTAACTAAGACCTAGTTGGCCAGCTGGCTGCTGGAAGGCCCTGCCGACTGCGTGGAAAAGCCACCAGACCGATCAGGGAAGGACCACAAAGGGCCAATACATCTCTTTTAAAAGCTAAACTGGGTGTTCAGTGCTTGCCATGTAGCATCTCTTAGCCCATAGCCTTTGCTGGCACTATACTGCAAGCCTCTGAGATGAAAAAACAAGCCCCCCTCCCCCCAAATATAAAAGCATAGAGGCCCCCAAAGTGACTGTGGCAGAGAAGAGTGGAGACATTGATTTACATATTTATTGGGAGGAGAATAAAACAGGGTGTTTGAAGATGACATTAAGCTGGGCAGGTCTGCTGCAAAAAGAACCTGAAATGTCGCTCAGTGTCCTCGCCTCCCTGAGCTGCAGCCTCGGCACCCCTCTACAGACCCCCCTCTTCTCCTGAGGGAGGGCCACCTAAGGAAGAGCCTGGGCTCCAGGGTGCAGGCACACGGTCCCCGCCCCTTCTCTGCAGTCCAGCAGGGCGCCAGAGGCAGACTGCCAGGGACACAGCCCTGGCCGCATCATCCATCACTCTGTGACCTTGGGTGAGGGAGGCACTTGACCTCCAGAAGCCTCGAGGTTTCTTATCCGTAAGCCAGGGATGATAACAGCCGCTGGACGCAGGCTGCTGTGAGGATTAAATGAGGTAATGTGTGCAGAGGGCTTAGCGCAATGCCTGGCGCAAGTCAGCGCGTAACAGATGTCGGCTGTTCTTCCTCCTGCTGCTTCTGGTCCTCTGACTTTAATTACTTCCGACCTTGAAGGTCTGAGGTCTTCTAAGAGAGTTGGGAGGTTTCGTGCCCTGTGGTGTCAGGGGTGGGATCAGCGGTCAGAATATGAGATCCGGCTGAGCCCCCCACCTCGGAGAATGGAAGTTTGATCTTACCAAGCAAACCAACGGAGTCTTGAAGACTCGCATCTCTAGCAGATGTCTAGAAAAACTGTTGGGGAGAATGCTAGTACAGATAGGATGACTATTGTTTCTCCTAAAAGCCTGAGTATGGTTTAGAGTTCAGTGGTTCTCAACCTTCCGAATGCCGTGGCCCTTTAATACAGTTCCTCATGTGGTGGCGACCCCCAACTATAAAATTATTTTTGTTGCTACTGTTATGAATCGTCATGTAAATATCTGATATGCAGGATGTATTTAGGCCAAAGGGGTCGCGACCCACAGGTTGAGAACCGCTGGTTTAGATCCAACGGTGGCAGCAAGCCCTGCCCAGTGGCTCCTGTGACTGACGCTGACCTGAGATGCCCATCCTTATGTGTCAATCAAATACCCATTTAGGGTACAGGGCACTTTCAACTTAACAACAGAATTACTTCTGAAAATCCTGTCAAATAAAACTATGCCCCTCACAGAGGAAGACTATCTTGTATAAAACTGTTTCAATCCTAGTGAATAGTAACAGCAGCCATCATTGGTCAAGTGTTCACTGTGAGCTAAGTGGTGGGATAAGCCCTTTACACAATTACCCCCTTTCATTTTTTTTCATCATCACTTTACACCCGGGCCGTGGAGACCCCGAAAGGTTACCGGCCTCACCTAAGGTCACACAATGTTCGGAACCAGGATTCCAGCACAGTCTCTCCTACTCCAGAACGGTGTCCTCTTAATCACGGCTCCCTCTGCTGCCCTGTATGTGTTCGTGTTTTTCAGTTTACAGCAAAAAGCAAACTTCAGGCCAACTCATGGCGTCACGCCACAAATTAGCCCGTTGAATGTTTTCTGCAGAATATAACGTGATGTGAAAAGCAGGGTCCATTAGAGGCTGACCTGGCCCCGTGTCAATGCCGAGATGCATTGAGATGCATCATGCAGTGCACAAATGGAGGCCACCTTTCCATTCTAACACGGGGCTGCTGGGACGCGAGGCACTGACCAGCGGGTATAGACCAGTGGTTCTCAACCTGTGGGTTGCGACCCCTTTGGGGGCCGAATGACCCTTTCACAGGGGTCGCCTAAGACCATCGGAAAACACATACATAATTACATATTGTTTTTGTGATTCATCACTATGCTTTAACTATGTTCAATGTGTAACAATGAAAATACATCCTGCATATCAGATATTTACATGACGATTCATAACAGTAGCAAAATGATGGTTATGAAGTAGCAACAAAAATAATTCTATGGTTGGGGGTCACCACCACATGAGGAACTGTATTAAAGGGTCGCGGCATGAGGATGGTTGAGAACCACTGGTATAGACAATGGCCCATCTGGAGGGGCCTGGCCCCGAACCACCAATATGCACGGCCGTGCCAGGACACACAGCCAGTGTCTGCCCTCATGCCCGCCCTCTCCACGTGGTCTGTCAGGCAGGCAGAGACAAACTGGATTTGGTTACCGCTTGGATCTCTATTCCTGAGAGAGCTGGCCAATCGGGGTTCGTGTCCAACATTTTCTGGACATTTTTTTCCATTCTGAGAGTCTTTAAGTCTTGAAATGATTTATTCTGGTAAACCTTATTGTCTAGAAAAGAAATGGTTTCGATTCAGAGGAAAGGCTCAGTGATTGCATGGAATACGCACAGCTACTCTTTACTGGTCTTATCCAAGGGCACACAGCTAATGGGAGGCTGCCTCACGGGAACAGGATGGAACTTGAACCCAGGCTTCTGGGTCCTAGCCCAGTGCTCCGCCCAGCAGCCACCCCAGCACCCAGAGAGCCCCATCCCCTCTAGGCAGGGAATTCTGGGAGGTTCCCCAAGGTTGGCCCTTGTACCGTGTTGGTCCATGAGAAAGTTTCCACCAGCCCACAGTGAAAAAAGAAAAAGTAGGACAATGTATGGGTTTCATGAAACCCTACTTCTTTAATATCAAGTTCTGCCCTTGACGCGGAGATCATGTCTGCCCATCTTGCTTTTTTGGATTAGAACATCCTTATGAAATGACAGGGACAGAAGACGGTGGTCCTGGCAAATTGGTCAGTTCCCAAAGTGAACCCACCTGGAGGTTGTTCCTCCGCTCCCAACCTCTGAGAACGTTTGATCTTATCAAGAAAGTCCCCGCCCCCCGCCCTCCCCCACTTCCCCCCAGCTCTACGCAAGGAGAGGCAGACGAGGAAGGAGGACACTTACTTGAGGAGCCTGCATTCTCGAGTTCTTTAATTCGTGCCCGGAGTTGGGATAAGGCCTTTTTCTGACGCTGTATGATTTCCTCGTGCCGGGACCCTTTGCACTTGGCCCCCAGGTCGCAGAAGGACTGCTCCTGCGGTGAACGGGACGGACGGCGGCTTTACTAGGGACGAGAGCCTCTCCCTTACACGTGGAGAAACGTGAACAATTCACACGCAGCAGAAACCCGGCCACTGAGTACTTTGGAAAGTATCGTTAAGGGGGTTTCCGCCGAGGAGGAATTTAAATCTTTCACTTCAAATATAAATTCACAGCTCGGAAGATTTCCAACTTTCCTCCCTGCTTAGCACAACCGTAAACAAAAGATCCCCTCCAGGTTACCTCCCCACGTCTTGTTTATATTTCTTCTAAGCTCGGTTTCCATATGTTGTCATTCTGGGCTCATCTCTGAGCAACACATCACATCCTGCTCTGGACGGACACGTGTAGACGAGAACACACAGGATGCCTGCTTCTTCACTGGCAGTAAGGATGGTGAGCTAATATTTGCCAGGGGGGGTTTGGTCAATGGGCTCTCGGCTGGTCTGGAGAGAGGAAACGCTTCCCTGGAGCCCCCAGGAGCCCCCAGAACAGCGTGTCCAGCGGAACTTCTGAGATGGAGGGAGCCTTCTGTATCTGCACCGCCGGGCCTGGCAGCCGCCAGCCACACAGCTGGAACCGGGTTTACGAAGGGTACAGACAAGGGAAGGCCTTCCTCATCGTCTGGGGGCCGTGCACCCCTTTGAGATTCGGCAGAATGCAGGGTTCCTTCCTCTAGAAAAATCCATGTACACACAACGCAGTGCATACAACTTCTGGGGGCTCAAAAGTCCCCTTGAAGACCAGTCATGTTACGTGTTGTTAAGCAACCCTTCTCTCGGGTAAGCAATTCACCTCTGCTTGCCAAGACTTATTCTAAGGCTCTGGGGACTCAGCAGCAGTAAAACTGGCCGAATCCCTACTGTCCTGGATTCTGTATCCCGGGGTGGGAGACAGACGACAAGAAAGATAAGCATGGGAGGTACAAGCGGGACGGTGGTGGGTGTTAAGGAGAGAAAATGGAAATGAGATGAGATGCTAGCAATGGCGTTCAGTTGTAGGTAGAGCTGCTAAGGAAGGTCCCAGGCAAAATGGCAAGAAAGGGAAGGAATTGACCATTTGGTTCTTTTACTTATTTATTATCTTAAATATATTTTTATTGATTTCAGAGAGGAAGGGAGAAGGAGAGAGAGAGAGAGAGAGAAACATCAATGACGAGAGAGCATTATTGATCGGCTGCTCCCTGCACGCCTCCCACTGGGGATCGAGCCTGCAAACGGGGTATGTGCCCCGACTGGGAATTGAACCATGACCTCCTGGTTCACAGGTCGACGTTCAACCACTGAGCCACGCCGGCCGGGCTAGACCAGGCTCTTTCATGTGTGGTGCGCACGGGTTCTTAAGAGCAGCAGGAGCGATCAAGCCCCAAAGCATCAACACTTACTTATCTGCCCTGCGTTTGTTCATATCCCATCAGACAAAGCAAGTCACGTGGCCAGAGTCAGTGTGGGAGGGGCTCGGATTTTTACAATCTACCCGCGTCCAGTGTTCTGTTATTTGAAACAATGCAGCAGGGCAGCGAGGCTCGGGGGCAGCCTCTACTCCGCATGAAGAGCGCGCCCGAGCCCGGCGTGACCCCAGCTCACGGCCCTCTGGGAACTTGTTTATTTAGGGAAGATGGAGATTCTTTCTCATACAACTCTTAAGCCCTCTGACCCGCTCTGGCTTAGAAAGCAGGAAGTGGCCGGAGGGAGGAAACCGTTCTGAGAAGGAACAAATATTTTTTCCCTTTTATCTGGCTCTGCTAATCCCACCCCATAAGGAAAAGTAATAACAATCCATCCTAACAAACACGGGTCCCCAGTGGGCAGAAACCCCGTGCGTCCTCCCCTGCGCCCAGCACAGGACCTGGCATACAGCAGGTGCTCAATAGTTGTTGAACGAATGAATGAATGAATATGGGTCAGGTCTCGCACTAAGGGCCTGGGGTTCCAGCAGGAGTGAGACCTGCTCTCTGCCCCACGGAGCTCAGCCTGTCGACCCGCTGCAGCCCCAGCTCATGGCCACCCTGAGCGACAAGGAGACGCTGTTCAAGGGCTCTGGACAGCGGTGGGTGCCAAGGACAGCTGCTGGGTCGCGAGCCCTTTGGTTTGAGCTGTGTGCGGCCCTGGCTCACGGCTGCTTGGCAGGAGGGAGGCATCTGTGAGGACGCGGGAAGGCAAGCTGACACATTTGGCCCCGTTTCCAAGTGAAAATCCAAAGCCCGTGTCCAAAGCGCCCTGCTCTCTAGTTTCATGAAGCAAAGCGGGGAGTCACATCCGGGGCCTCCAGGGAGCACTGGGCCCGCATCAGCCCGCCACGGACAATGGGAGCACCACAGCCCCAGCCACGGTAGAACGGGAGTGCCACCTTCGAGGGCGGCGTGATGGAGGCTGTTCTCACATACAATCCCTGTTGCTGCGAGGCTGGGACTTCAGGCCCATGGAGGATTCTGGGTGGGGACCCTCGAGAAGTTGCCAGGGGACAGCCACGGAGCATGAATGGCGCTGCTCTTTGGGAAGGCAGAGTGGCCCTATCGAGCGCAATTTAGGATGTCCTCTGGACCCAGTGATTTAGATACAGTGTTTTTGTTATTGTTGTTAATCCTCATCCAAAGGTATTTTTCCACTGATTTTTAGAGAGTGGCAGAGAGAGGGAAAGACAGAGAGAAACATCGATGTGAGAGAAACACACTGATTGGTTGCCTCCTGTACAGGCCCCCACCAGGGCCTGGGCCGGGGAGGAGCCTGCAAGCAAGGTACCTGCCATTGACTGGAATTGAACCTGGGACCCTTTGGTCCGCAGGCCGATGCTCTATCCACTGAGCAAAACTGGCTAGGACAGGATATAGTATTAGCTACAGTAACGTGGGAATGCAGAAGCCACTGAAATCTCCATCAACAAGGGGCTGCTTGGACAAAAAGGGACACAGTGGATTCTATGCAGCCATTTATAAGCAGAGGGAGATCTTACTTGAAAAGATGCCCATTCAATAGTTATGTGTGTAGAATATGTATGGCTTGATACCATTATTTCGCAAAAAAAAAAAAATCTCTTCAATAAATATATGTACGGAGGGAGGAAGGGGAGATAAGGACACATATGTAATACTTTAATCAATAAAGAAAATTAAAAAAACTTTAAAAAAAGAAGTTAAAAAGTAAATATATGTACAGGGTGGGACGCAAAGTAGGTTTACAGTTGTGAGTACAGTTTATTCTTGTATTATTATTTATTAACTAGAGGCCTGATGCATGAGATTCATGCAAGGGGCTTGGCCCTCACAGCCATGGCTTTGTCTGAAGGTCGTCCAGAAGGTCGTTCAGCTGTCTGGTCTAATTAGCATATTACACTTTTATTATTATAGATTGTATAATTTTCCATATGAACAACTGTGAGCCTGCTTTTGCCAACCCCTGTATATACAGGTCTGTTTGTGCTGAGTTTATAAATAAAATGTATTTCTTAACAACCCCACGAGGTGACTAGTGAGGGTCACTTCTCCCACTTTCCGGACAAGGGAATTGGCTCAGTGATTCCTGAGGTCACAGTTTCGGAGAAGAGGACCCATGCAGACTAGACCCGAGCCCGGTCTCCACCCACTGCCCAGTCACGCTGCGTAAGGACGTGCAGGGGCTGCTGGCGCCTGTGCCAGCCTGCTGACAGCTGGCACCTCTGGTGACGGCATTGGAGGGGCAGGACTCCTGCTGTGTTACTGGCAACCGGCACAGAAGTACGTCCTTGGCACAGAAGCACGTGCTGATTTGGGAACTTAGAACGAGAATGTTTTCCAAAGCCAGGAAAGCCACCACTGGGCTCTTCCTGCCTCAGCCCGTCCTTCGGGCGCCAGGGCGGGGCGGACACTCACCTCCTGGCTGCTCACGAAAATGTCGGTGAGGATGGGTTCCATCGGCACCGAGATGTCACACGTCTGGGCCGCGCTCCTGGGCCTCTGCGGCTTCTCCTTGGGCGGCTGGGGCCTGCGTTTCTCTTGAGAGGCTCTGGGGCAGAGGCGATGCGTCACGGGGCTGCACAAGGTTCCGGGGGCCACGAGTTCCCACCCCCGACCCCCACCCCACGGGGCAGGAAAAGGAGCTCCATTTTTATGGTAACTGAAGTCTCCCAGCCTCAAGTCCCCTGCCCACAGATCGCTAGGGAGTTTAGTCTCAGGGGACTTGCAGGAGCGTGGCCAGGGTGGCGGGCACCCGCCTGCCCTTGCTTCCACCTGGGTCTGCGGGACACCTGCTGTGCCCGTATGGGGGCATTTGTTGTGTGATGCTCTTTCCTACTCTCCGATGGGTAAGCCCTTCCAGGTCTCATAACAGTCCCATGAATGGGGGACGCTCCTGGCCCTATCTGACCGACAGGAACAGAGACACACAGCAATTTGTCCGTGGTCCCGGGGCTTGTAAGTGGAAATGCGTGGCTTTGCACCCAGACAGCACGGGTCTGGAGCCTGTTCTCTTAACCACGGTGTGACTCCGCTTCAGCCATGAGCCCCGAGGCACGAGAAGCCACAGGGTCTACACAAGACATCAGTTTTGCTCACACTTTCTTGGGGGAAAAGATTACTTTTAGGTCAACATTTGGATAAACTATGGATGAAAAGGCAAAGTCACATCTACTTTTTAGACAAATCCATGGGCCGGGGATAATTAACATTTCTTTTGAACTGACCTCGGACACCCCTAGTCGATACATTTGTTTAACAAATATTTATTGATTTCCTTCAGTGCTAGGCATTGAGTGACTGCCGGGAGGCAATGCCAGGCAAGGCGTGTTCTCAGGGAGAAGGCAGACCATTGAATGGGCAATTAAACACAGCCTGACTGAGAAGTTAGGGGAGGTGAGGCAAGGGGCTGAGGGTCCCAGGCAGAGCAGGAGCCCTTGTCGATATTTGGGGAGGGTGAGTGACAGAGGACTTCCTGGAGGAAGTGGCATTTAAGCCGGGACCGGTTATCTGGAATATTGGGCAGGAATCTTTGGGAAGCACAGGACTTAGCAAAGGCCTGTTCTACCTGATAAGGCTGTGGAGCAATGAAGCACGTCATTCATTCATCCCTTCATTCATTCTTCGTCCATCCATCCATCCATCTACCCATCATGCATCCATCCCACTCCTCAATCAGCACTTACTGCCCACCTCTCTGTGCAAGGTTCCCGGGGCACTCAGGTGTACCAGGGCATTCAGGCGTACCTGGGTCCTGCACACCATGCGGACCTCCTCACACACCTGAGTGCCTCCTTGAGGTCCTCCAGCTCTCGGTCCTTCTTCTCCACCAGGCCGGTCACCTGGGCCATCTTTTCCTTGAGTGCACCCAGCTCTCTGTTTTGCTGTCGGACCAGGGCCACGTTCCTCTCCAGTTCCACCTTCTGCTTCTCGTTAAGCTCCCCTGGGAGCGACATGAAAGCTGGTGAGGGGGTGTCCTGCCTGGGGTCTCCACGAGGGGCCACGGCAGGGTCCTCTGCCAGGGTTTGAGACCCACGAGGAGGGCCCGCCCTCCAGGAATTCTCTGGGGGCTTCAGCAACATCCAGGAGGTCTGCTTGCGTCTGAGCAAACAACTCATGTGAGTGCTGGCTCTAGGAGGACCACGTGCTCCGGCCTGAGCCTAGTGTTACACCGCAGGTGCTGTCTGTTCCCGCCCCCGCGCCGATGGCACTTTAGGGCACTCCGGCCACTTTCCGCTGCCTGCTTCTGCATCTCTTTGCCTAAGGCAGTGGTTCTCAACCTTGGCTGCACATTAGAAGCACCCGGGAATCTTTTTAAAATCCTGGTTTCTGGGCCTCATCCTCCGGAAATTCTGTTGCTTTGTGACTAATGTTGTGGCCCCACCCCATAACAAGGAAACAGAATTTCCGGAGGATAAGGCCCAGAAATCAGGATTTGAAAAAGATTCCCGGGTGATTCTTATGTGCAGCCAAGGTTGAGAACCACTGCGCTAGAAGGAATACCTGGCCCTGGGTCCCAAAGCTGGTGAGGGTGAGGGCTTGTGCAGGTGGCCCTGGCCCAGGAGGGAGCCTTTGATCTGGGGGCAAATTCTCAGTGGTGACAGGACAGTCTCCCGGAAAAGGAGAGCTGGGCCTCATCGCAGAGGTCCTGCACCCTTGGGGGGTGACCCGTGGCCCCTGAATATGGAGTCAGGGCCATAGTCAGGATCCAGCTTTTGTGACCCCGCCACAAGTGCCGTGACGCCCAGGAGAGCAGGCTGAGCAGGGCTTTTAAGGCCACGCTTTCCAGCTCTGCAGCCCCACTTCTTTCCTTCCTCAAAGTGGGCCAGGAAGTCAAGGGACCCGGGCAAGCATACGAACCTCTCAAATCGGACATTCGGCTGTGGGCTTCCGTCAGGTTTTTCCGTAAGCTCATGATGACCTCCTGCTGAGACAGGATCTCCTTCTGGGCAGTCAGCAAGTCCTCTCTGCAAGTCACAAAACAGGCAGAGCCGGGTCAACCCCGGCCCGCGGTGTCTCGGCGCCTGGAAGGGACCAAGCGCAAATGCCCAGTGAGGCTCCGTCAGTGATGGTCCGTGGGATACCGGTCCCAGCAGCGGGAGAAGCGCGTGCTTTAATAACTCTCAAAACAAAATCCATTTTTATGTACATCACTGAAGATAAATACATCGTGTCCAGCTGGCATGGCTCAGTGGGTGAGTGTCGACCTATGAGCCAGGAGGTCAGGGTTCGAGTCCAGTCAAGGGCACAGGCCTGGGTGGTGGGCTTGATCCCCAGTCGGGGACGTGCAGGAGGCAGCTGATCAGTGATTCTCTCTCATCATTGATGTTTCTCTCTCTCTCTCCCTCTTCCTCTCTCTGAAATCAATAAAAATATATATATTTTAAAAAGAGAGAGAGAGATACATCGAGATAGAACAAAGGGCCCTGGCTAGGTTCCATCTGAGGCTGAAATATGACTTTGGGGTTGGGAGGGATCTTCAAAGTCATTTAGTCTGACCTCTGAACTTTGAACCCCCTCTAGGACCTCTCCACCAAGTGGTCTCCACTGCTGGCAACCTCTGCCCTCGGCTTGCCGCGACCACCCGCTCGCCGCAGTGTGAGCTGGCATTTCCCGAGCGGCTTCCGTGCACCCGGCCTGAGCCTCCTTGTTTCACAGATGAGGAAGCCAAGGCCCCGCCTCACACAGCTGGAGAGGGTTGATTTGGGATCTGAACACAGATCCACCCAGGCTTTTCCCTGACATCATCCTCACTTGCTAAAAGAATCAGGAAAGTCAAATAACAGCGAGCAGACCCCGGACTCCACTCCCTTTTTCAGATTCCGACAACGTGGCCAGAAGTGGGAGTTTGTGGGTTTGTCACCGCTGGCGGGCTCGCCAGGGCGGGTGCTCTGGCGCGGGCACGGCCTCTGGTACTCACATCATGTGGTCACACGCTGCGTCTTCGGTGCGGCTCTCCAGCGGGGGCCCTGGGGGGCGGTCTTGCTGCGCTGCCTTCTCCTGGGCTGAATCAGGGACACGTGAACATCATTACAGTCCTGCCACCCGTGCCTTCTTTCCCCGATGCGTGTTAACCCACCAGCGCACCTGCATCGTCCCCACTTACACACTCTCCCTACACCCGCAGTGCTCTCCCCCTATCGGGACGTACCACAGGTTCTGTGTCACAGGCTGAGGACTCCCCCCACTCCCCCTTTGAGCTCATGAAATCCTTCCAGCTACTCTCTAAGGCACAGATCATTAACTCCATGCAGACAGGGAAATGGACACAGGAGTGATGGGACCTGTGTCCACTCAGCCAGCTGGTGAGAGGTGGAGCCCTAACCACGGGGTCACACCTCCCGCCCTACTTCCTCCTCTGCACTCAGACAAGAGTTGTGTCCTTACTACATCTTCCACTTACTCCCCCGCCCACTGCCTTCGGCTTCCATCCTCACCACTCAACCACATGCTCATTCATTCATTCATTCATTCGACAGTTCCGTGCTTTATGGTCTAAGTGTGGGGTGACCAAGCTGTCACCTTCCAGCTTGAGCATCCTCCCTGTGGCCTGGACCTGGCCTGGGAAACTGAGTCCCACTCCAGGCCCTGGCCATGGCGCCCTGCTCATCTTGGGTCACCTGTCAGGGCAGTATTTTGGTTAACTGAAGGGACCTTGCCTGCTTGCCCATCACTGAACCCTCAGTGCCTAGGATGAACTTGGAACATAATAGATGCTCAATTAAGTGCATGGAGTGACTGAAGGCATGAGGTAGGACCATGATTCTCAACCAGGGGTGAGTTTGCTCCCCTCACGTGGGGGACACTTGTCAATGTCTGGAGACATTTTTGGTTGTCACACTGGGGTGGGCGGTGGTACTGGCATCTATTGGGTGGAGGCCAGGGATGCTGCTCAACACCCTACACGGCACAGGACGACCCCCACCCCAAAGATTTATCTGGCCCCAAATGTCAATAGCGCTGAGGCTGAGAAACCCTGGCCCCAGGCCTTTGCTTCCAGAACTCTTCTCCGAGAAGTGACGCTCATGACCCCTGACGTTTAGAGTAGCTAGAGAACCTCTCCAAGCAGCCGGCATCTTGGTCATTTAGGGCAAATACATGCTCACTACCCTGAGTTCTGTTTAAGCCTCGTGGGGGTTTAGCTTTTAAGAAACAACCCCTGGCTGGTTACAAAAGTGCATTAAACAAAGTCACAAATTACAACACAGAGGGGAGCCTTTGAATGG